GTGTTTCACTATACAATATCTTGAAGCTATTCTGTGTCAGTTCTCAGCTTATAGTTCAAGTTGGTTGTAATTTTTCAAACGAAGCTATTTTTTCTGTCGAACAAAAATATTCGTTTCTCTATTTACCAGAAATACGTGTACTGAAAATATATATGAAATTTTCACTCCCTGCGGCAAAAGCCATATTTACAATGCATTAACGTCGTTAGTGGATATTTGATCTGCCTTTACGCAACATACGGAGAGAAACGAGAAAGTGTACCAGAGAAAGGAGCGTAGTTCAAGGAAATGAAATAGTCGTCTTCTCAGCTGGCAAAATACGGAAATGATTAATTCATAATCTATAGCCACCTAGAATATTTGTTGAATATACTTCGCCTATCACATGAATTTTGATGTCTTATCACATGATATGCACAAAACTATAGATAATCATGATATGATTGGATTTTTTTAATTATCGAAATGATGAATGTCAATGAAAATTATCACACAACCGCTGATAGAATGAAGGAGACGAATGATGCCTCAGTAAGATGTGATGTGAATATTACTCTTGAATTTTCAAATGAAAAAATACATTTCATTTGAACAGGCTTGCTTTTGTACTTCCAATGGTACTCTAATTTATAATTTGTGAACTAACGGTTTCCAAAAAATGGCGTTTGGAAGTAACACCAATAATGAAAATTTACTTGCTGAGTATATATTTGAATGAAAACTATTGTACTCTCTCTTGTTATACTTGAAATGATGAGGAGAAAAAAATTATCATTGAAAAATCACATGGATAAATAGGTAGTTTGAGACATAATTTCCAGTCATTCGCATTTAATGAATGGTGTATTATCATTGATAATAATGATTGTACACTTTTCATACTATGAATTTTATTGAAAATGCGATTCACTACACAGTAGTTTCGTCAATTGAACTGGCACATTTACTATGTCCTTTGTACAATAGTAGACAATCACAAAACATAATTAGATAATATATGAATAATTCTGCGACAACATGTAGATTTTGATGATACGATGACAGTGCAATATCAACTAAAAACAAGAAATACAAATTGATTTTATGTATATCCTCACATTGAAAATAATACTACACTCACATATACAGGAAAATGAAAATAATACCTAAAAAAAACAACCCAGTATATGAGGCTGGTAACTCCCGGAAGACACAGAATGCCACAAAATGCCACAGAATGGATATAATTCAATATCCAGCATGGTATTAGCCGGGGTAGTAGTTGTTTTCCGGCAAAAATTCGCCAGAACCTACGGTAGTGTTGATGGTTGAAAAAAAAGGGATACCTATATTGAATATTAATTTTCTAGTATGTATATATCTCTCCATGATTTAGTTTCCAGACACGGTTTGATCTCTGTTAGAGTATTGGTACATGTGATGTTCCTTCCCCGATTTGAACTCGCGAAACTGCTTCACTATTTTGCTCATTGTTCCTTGAGATATGGGCGAAAAATTAGAAAATTTCTCATGAAATTGGTGAGCTACTTCCTGTTGGGTTCGAGTTTTATCTCCGTAACCAATAATTTGTGAAACTGTTACTTCATGAATTTCCGTTGATCTGACCATTTGTCAGACTTGAAGCTAACGAACTTCAAACTTAAATGAAAATACTTACAACTGATGTCGTAACATACAAAACAAGTTGACAAGGCGTTTTAAACTAAGGTTGCCACGGAAATTATTCACGGTTTTTCAAAGGATACCATCTTGAAAGAATATTGCAATGGACTTTGCTAACTTTATAATTATTAATACCTCAACATGAAATTTTGAGTTTTGAGTATGTGACAATAAGTTTTGAGGGTATTTTATCGAATTTTGGTAACCACTCATTTCAATTCATTTTCTCTCAATTGTTGCATTAAACTCAAAAGTGATAACACTTTTGAATAGAAAATGAAGACACATTTCATATGATATATCACAAGCCTATACTTCCGACTTGAAAAATTGGGGGTTGTACCTATCATTCGACGGGGGTTGAAGGTAGGGGTGGCGTTTATCCGTTGAAGTATGTAAAAATATAATTTAAATTTGACGTGTTTCGGAATTTTGTCAAAATCTGTACCTTAACCGAAATAATGACTTCATTTCATTTGGCTTTTAAACACTGTATAAAATAATTATAATTATTCACATAAAATAATTCCTGTTGACAGTAAAAAAAATATTAATGTCAAACATTCTCGCACTAATAGATAAAACTGAAGGTTACAAAAAAAATAAGAAACAAACACATACAGACAGCTTACAGAAGTTCATACTTGTTTGTAAGAATGAAAAATAATAAAGTTTCACACATTATACATAGGTATTGATGAACTATGGAGACACAGATATTGACTAAATCTATAATATAAAAAAGAATAATATACTTATATTGAATACAAGGCAGAAAAGGCTCAATCAAGTTGAGCACCAAAGTTATATAAGGGGTAATATCATCATTCAATTTTAGTTCAACGTACAAGTTTCAAAATGCAGTTACCTTAGTTACAAATAAAAGTTGTGAAAAACATAGTAATTTTCATATCTAATATTTAACGGTGATCTACTATCACGCAGTAACGGCTACATCCATCAATTTATTCCATTCATTACGTTTTCAAATCATAATATTTACAGTTCTATCCTGAAGAGAGATATATCGTAGGGTAGTTTCCAAATTGATTATATTCATAGGGCGGACACAACCTATAAAATGTCAAATGAAAAGGGGAGTTGAGTGAAACCTCATTTTGATCTTCAGCTACCTTTTCAAAGATACTGTATACCAGAAATTTCTTTTTAGCAATTCACGAGAAAACTGGTGAAAATTGTAAACGAGTTCAGGTGTTCAAAAACACTGTGATATTATTTTAATGAAATTAAATGAAAAATAATTAGTATTTTTGCATGTATTATTGAAAGTATTTATTAGACTGCAATTTACCTGAACTGGTAGTTAAATGGTAGTCACGAAAGACAAATCAGTTGAAGATTTGTCAAAAAGTGAAGATATAAACGTTATTCACTAATTTGGTCATCATGTCAATTTTAACAAATTCAATACGTTGAATAAAATTCGTATACTGTAGAAAAAGGGGCAGAAATTATTTTCATCAATTGAAAACGTCGAAGATGCACAACATGAATGGGAACATTGTTCAATGAACAGTAATTTGAATCCTCAATATGTTCTGGAAATAATATTTGAAAGACATTTTTCATGAAGGTCAATAGTTCTTACTGTTTCTGTGGGTACAAAACCTCAAACAATCTAAAAAATTAACAAAGTTAAATCAACTTGAAGTATAATAAACGGCAAACTGAAAAGTTGACTCCTAAAAGTTACTGCTCGATATCAACCACTGAAGAGTTCAATTAATCAGTAACTTGAGTCCATACATTTTTCCTACACATTACAAAGATCGATTGAAAAAACTATAATATTTTCGAAATGAATTTCAAGTTTTAATAATGGAAAAGATTGTGATTCTAACGTTGACCACTAAAGAAAGCTAAGTATAAATATTGAATTTTTGAAACAATTTATTGATGTAGCCGGTTACTACGTGATAAGAGATCATCATGAAAAATGAGAAATGAAACTTAATTTTTTTTTTATCATATTCATTTGTAACTATGGTTACTGCAGTTTCGTCCTTCATGGACATTTTCAAACTGATACAATGAAACTCAATATTATATAGTTTTATCGTATTAGTTTGAAAATGTCCACATAGGACCAAACTGCAGTAACGATAGTTACATATAAAATTGGTGAAAAACACAGTTTCATTTCTCTATTTTATACCGTTTTTTTGGGTATATTGTTACCACAATCTTTCTTAAGTGGTTAATGTTTCGGAAAACAATAATTTTCTGTGTTCAAAACCTGTATTTACTATTGAAATTCTGCCTCAAACTGTGGTATTTCTGAATTTCATTGTCTGATATTATATAAAATGATTCGAAATCCCTGATAGAACTAATGGATAAAAAAAGATTTAAAAATGAATAGCTGAAAATAACAATTATAATAAGGCAAAAAAAATTCGAAAAGATCTGATAGTGAAATAAAATGCAAAATAAAAATGAACAAAAATAAAAATGAAAAATTAAGAGATTCCAAGCCAAGTTACTTCACTGTGTATTGTGAAATCTCTGTGATGTACTGTGATGTGACGTAGCTTGGAATCTCTCAATATTTTATTTTTATTTTTGTTCAATTGTTTTATTTTTACTTGTATTCCATTTCACTATAATTTCATTTCAGGTTTTTTTTGCCTAATATAATTGTTGAAAAAAGAGAAATGAAACTTTCTATGTTTTTTACCACTTTTATTTGTAACTAACGTTACAGCAGTTTCGTCCTATACGGACATTTTCAAACTTATACAATAAACTAACTGTAGGTACTAATAGAAATAAAGGTACTTGACTTGATTGAGTACCTGCGGATGTGCTAATTTAAAAACTGGCGAGTTAACTAAATCGATTTGATCAATCAACAGGTTGCACCCGCAATGTTCATGTTGTGAATTTCGAAGGATTCTAAATAATTGAGCTCGCAACCCTTCCTAGCATAGTGCAGAATTTCCGTTCCGTTTAGATTCGGAAACTTGTGGTTGCATGCCAAGGAATGGTTTGAAAACGTCGAATAATTTTTTCCTAGTCTGAAGGACCTTTCATGTTCAGCATACGGTTTTTGTAAATTTCGGCCAAATTGTCCCACATAAACACTTTACACTCCGGACACTTAAGCTTATAAACCCCATATTTTTTCAACTTGTACATACCAACCAACAACATACATATTCATGCGGAAATGTCAACAGCGGAGTTGAATCTCAAAAACAAAAACGGCCTTCTCTGAATATCAAACCGGACATCTCCTTATTTTTCATCTAACCCAGTACTGGTGGTACTGTTATATCATTCAATGTTTCCTCCGCTGAAATCAGTATTCACGGCAATCTGCATCGGTTGAGACATACTTTGTATCGTGAGTGATCTAACATTGGCTGCGATCAAGGTTTTCTCTCTCGAAAGATCATTTGACACAATGAGTAAGGTGAGTAGTCTCGATTCAGTTGTTCTCAGTTTTATTGCATTGAAAGTTGTGATACACGGCACGTAGACAAGTTACTTTACGGTTGGTTATTCACTTTTCTTTGGAAGTGATTATTTGATGTTTTTCCTGTATTCAGCTCGGGAATAATTGCTCTATTTCAAAAAAAAAATTCTAAATTTATCTTCATACTACTCAGCATCTAGTATTGAATCAAGTGAAGTATTACTTTTTATACAAATGGTTGAACTCTCCAGAATTCAGTATCTGAAACTGGATTAGAATCAAATGTCCATCAATTACAGAAAAGTTCGATAGAAAATAAGATGAAATAAAAACATGACGAATTGTGAAATTCGAATATAAGGATTGATATTCCATTGACTTTCAGTTGAGGCAGTCCTGCGTTGAATAATTTCGCTCAAATCATTTTTGTTTTTGAAAGTAAAAGTTTCAATCTGATTTGAACTACAAACTTTCTCGAATTTACTTGCATAGACCATATTTTTGAACGAAGATTCGTTTTTGGTGGAAAAACCTTCATCTTTTAGGTTGTATCTGAAACTTCTGTATATAATGTACACAACTTCGCGAAGGGTTTTTTTCTCTTTTTCCCTTTCTAGAAAGTGATGAAGAAGCAGTAAACCCAATATTTCTTTTTTGAATAGATTTTCAAATATTTCGTCGGTTGGAGGCGAAGTAAATTTTATTTTACGTTTGAGAAAGCTATTGTATAACGAAACACGTGTCGCGGTAGTGATAATCTTACAATTAACTGTACCTATCAATGAGTTTCAAAAATCGTTTGTTGAAATTTCCCAGTAAATTATGCGTAGGTTGAATAACACTTTTCTTTTACTCAAACAGAAACATTGCAAGTGCAATAATTGTTGAATTACAATTATGTGATTGTTTTCTTCTTTTGGAGCTATTTTGGAAAAGTCTGAGGATGATTCATGATTCATAGAATGATAAATTTGAAGCAAAAGTAATTGATGAGTTGAAATTATTGATTACTCATATTATTGTTTACTCATATTATGAGATATTCGAACATATGCATTGAAAAAAAAAATCAGATTTTTTTGAAAAATTTTATCAATGAAATGAATAATGGAATATAAATATTCTCACGAAAAAATACAAGGATATTTTTTTTGTGTAGGAAAATGAAAGATATATATATAAAATGTTCAATTGTTTGTAATAAAATTTTTATCGAATGATCAATGAAAACTGAATTTTTTTCAGTTATGAAAAAGCAAGATGAATAATGAATGTAAAAAATGATTATTTAATGTTAATTACAAGTGGTAAAAAAGTTATTATACTCTTCATTTGATGAATCTGATACTGAATTATTCCTCTACTTTTCGCTTTCAAATCCAAATATTTGGATTATGGATCTTTGTTATTATCATTTATGTCGATTAATTGTGATTTACTGTTTTTAAGTTATCATTTTACGGAATCGGCAGCCATATCATTGGGATTTTTCAGTTCAGTTTTTCCAACAGGACAGAAATTTGGAATATCACCTGTTGGAAATATTATTTGAATAAATTCATTTACTTCAGTTATTCTGTCAGTGTAAAGACTAAAAATATTTTTATATGTGGTTGATGATAATTTTGGTTCGATGAATGTGGTCAGAATTCCCGCTGATGCAAACTCAAAATCCAGTCAGAAATCTGATATCACAATAGCAAAAATTTCGATAATACTTTATTCGAATTTTAGTTATGTTTCATGAGAAGTCTTCTCATAACATATCTGCTTATCAACTGACATGGAAGTTCTTATTTTAATTTTTCTTTGATGAGATCTTTCCCATTATTCACTTGATTTTAGATTACGCTCCGAAACTCTCAGTTTCAATAACCCACACAATGTCTCCAATCGACCATACTTTATTGTATCAAGGTTACAATGCATCACGGTAGTAATTTTTCCGATAACAGGAAGGTTGTTTCGGAGTATCAAGAAAAAATAATTTTTCTTGATGGGTCATTAACCATCATCAAAAACTTTTCATAAGGAAAACAAAGTATCGGTGCTTCCCTCCAATGAATTATACGTTGGGATGAATGCATTTAATTGAAGTACGAAGTGTACTATGACAATATCGAATTACTGGGCTGACTGAAACACATGATAGATTTCCAGAAAATAGCGTTTGGCTTCCACTTCAACATCTCCATACCAAAAATTGTGGTGAACTGAATAATAGCTTCCTCTTTAGCTTGCAACATAAACGTTGTCTGGATGTTGTCAAGTGACTTAAATGTATTTAGGTATTCTGAAAACTACAAAAATACTCAAAGAATTTCTGAACATCAGGTTACTTTGCAAAACGAAAAATTGTATTATGAAGAATGGGTTTTGGGCTGAATTGAAGTTATAAATAAATAGGTACAATTTTATTTCAATTACATGTATACATGAGATAATTATCATCACTTTCTGAATGAGAAACGCCCTGTTTTAGTCAAATTAATGAACATAAACAAGTTTTAACTTGGAAGTGTGCACTCCGACAGAGTAGAAAAGAGCCACGGAACAATTAAGTGTTAACTTGTCATTGTTTCATAGAGCTTCATTGAATATAGTGCAGTGTTGTTTGTGAGAAAGTGTGTGAATTCGTTTGACAGTTTTTGTTATATTTGTAGTGAATATATGGTATTGAAGCAACAACATGATATCACGAAGTATGTAAAAGAAGTATGCTTCTCGTATTCTGGCTCAAAACTTGGGGATCAGGATAAAGTTTGAGCACCTCATGAAGTCTGCAAAAGATGTATTGAAATTGATTTGAACGCGAGAAAAAAACTTTCCAATAGGCGATTCCTGTGTTCAAAACGGAAGGAGTAAATTTCATACCCAAATCTGCAATCAACTATTTGTCCCATCCCTCATGGGACCGAAATACCAGTGCCAAACGCACTTACCATCTTGAAAAAGATTCTGAATTCTGATGAAAATGGTGCCGTGCCTGAACCCGATGACAAGTCATGTTTTGAATTTGAAATTGACAGCAGTCTGAAATTGTTTTCCCAGGGCGAGCTGAATGATTTGGTATAGACTTGAATCTTATCAAAAACGCTGCCGAGTTGCTCGGATCAAGGCTCCAAAGCAGGAACTTACTTTTGCCGGGAGTGTCTTTCTCCAGGTTTACATATCGTGAGAAGCAGTTCTCTTTCTACTTTGCCCAAAAGGATGAGTTGCTTTATTGTACAATTATGGAGGGGTGACGAAAACATTCAATATCCCATGTAACCCAGCACAGTGGCGTATTTTCATAGATGGTTCAAGAAGAAGCTTTGCAGCAGTTATGCTTCACAATGGCGATTTTCATACATTCATACCTGTCGTCATTCCGTACACCTACAAGAACCTGGAATTGATTTTTCGTGCGGTGTGCGGTGATTTGAAAGTCTTGGGCATGTTACTCGCACAATTTGGGTTCATCAAACTCCCTTATTTTTTATGTCTGTGGGATAGTAGAGACCTAGCAAACACCGGTCTAGTAAGTGTTGACCTACGAAGGAGCTCAACGTTGGCGAAAAGAAAGTCCTGCATGAAACTTTGGTGCCTCCTCATGAAGTTCTTTCACCACCGCTTCATATAAAGCTGGGATTGATGGAGCAATTTGTAAAGTCACTTCCAAGAGATGGAATTTGCTTCAAATACTTGATACGAAAGTTTTTTCCAGGCCCCTCAGAAAAAAAAATTGAAGGAAGGCGTTTCAGTTAGACCAGATCCTGAACCACAATTCATTACAATCATGACGGATCCTGAAAGAGGGGGAAAGATTGCGGTCAAATAGTTCAAAGAGAAAACTTTAGGTGATGAAAAGGACCCTCACAACAAACAAATCTTCAGAAGAATGTTGAAAGCATTTCAAGCTTCAGCTTCCCTAAGAGTTCAAAAGTACATTTCCTTCATTCCCATCCCGACCACTTCCCAGATAATTGAGGAAATGTGTGGAGAACAACGTGAACGATTCCACCAAGATATCAAGGAGATGGAGAAAAGATACCGGAGAAGATGGAGCGTCTCAATGATGACAGACTACTGTTGGACGCTTCACAGAGACCTTCCAGATGCTTTCTACTTTCAAAAATGTACCAAAAGAAGTTTCACTGGAAGAAAAGAATATATAAAGTGCTACCAAATGAATGTGTTTCAGTTTTGTTACGCAATTATGAGTATGAATTTCTGTTCAGTATTTTATTTTGAGATGGTAACTCGTTCAACATAAATACCTGCATTATTTGAAAACGTTAAGTTCAATGACAAAAGGAATGTCACTCTTGAATTCAGCACAACCAAAAACATAAGAATCATGCAAAAAACAAAACAGCTCCCAATATTTTTTTGCATACTTGTATTATGTTCCACTATCTACAGTGATGTTGGTGGAATTTTTCAGTGAATATACTCAATTTCATCCAGAATAATTTATGAGAATCATTTGGTTCAAAATTGTTGGTATGGATATTATCATTGAGTCTATTACGGTTCACTATTTCAATTATATACAAAATCATCTAGAGCAACCTGAAAGATTGAAGTATGAGATAGATGAGGATTATGAATACTTGCTGTAGTGGATGTCATTTTTTTGTCTAATGAAATAAAAAATTTTCATTTTGTTGACACTAGCGTCAATATAAAGTATATTATTATTATATTATATCTTTATAAGAATTCATCACAATAAAATAAAGGTTCGACTTTTGAAGTGAGAAATCGATGGGTGGTTAACGGATGATAGATTTTTAACAGATTTCAGAATTTTCAAACAGAGTTTATTGACTTTTGTATCCATTCACTGAAATGTAACGATTACACGTTCGAAGCACGATAATATCAACTGCTATCATCATTAACAAGTTTTATGTAAATCGGTTCAAATATGGAATATGCGATAGAAATCAGTCTTGAACTTCTCATAGACTTTCAGCTTATCAGCCTCAATGTCACTGAAAACATTTCATATG